GAGCCCTCTCAAGAGGACTGTCTCTCTCTGCTTGAAAACTACTCTAGGCCTGTTGGCTTGTTGGCCTAGAGTAAACATATGAAAAAATGCTCATCATCACTGGTCATCAGAGAAATGCAAATCAAAACTACACTGAGATACCATCTCACACCAGTTAGAATGGCGATCATTAAAAAATCTGGAGACAACAGATGCTGGAGAGGATGTGGACAAATAGGAACACTTTTACACTGTTGGTGGGAGTGTAAATTAGTTCAACCATTTTGGAAGACAGTGTGGCGATTCCTCAAGGACCTAGAAATAGAAATTCCATTTGACCCAGCAATCTCATTACTGGGTATATATCCAAAGGATTATAAATCGTTCTACTATAAGGACACATGCACATGAATGTTCATTGCAGCACAGTTTACAATAGGAAAGACCTGGAACCAACCCAAATGCCCATCGTTGGTAGACTGGACAGGGAAAATGTGGCACATATACACCATGGAATATTATGCAGCCATCAAAAACGATGAGTTCGTGTGCTTTGTAGGGACATGGATGAACCTGGAAACCATCATTCTCAGCAAACTGACACAAGAGCAGAAAATCAAACACCGCATGTTCTCACTCATAGGCGGGTGTTGAACAATGAGAACACATGGACACAGGGAGGGGAGCATCACACACTGGGGTCAGTTGGGGGGAAATAGGGGAGGGAAAGTGGGGGGGTGGGGAGTTGGGGAGAGATAGCATGGGGAGAAATGCCAGATATAGGTGATGGGGAGGAAGGCAGCAAATCACACTGCCATGTATGTACCTATGCAACAATCTTGCATGTTCTTCACATGTACCCCAAAACCTAAAATGCAATAATAAAAAAAGAAAACTACTCTAGGAAGCTTAACCTACATATAACCAACCAAGGAATAAAAAGAGGGTCCCCGGGAGGGTTCACCTTGACGTACCAGGCTCAACAGAGCAGCTATAGATAGGCTCCACGTAGAATTTAATTTGATCAGACGGTTCCATTCTTAAAAACAATAAAACCTCAAGAAAAGACAGAAAACTCGATCATTTAATGTCAAATATTCCAAACTTTAAATGTTGACAACTGAGATGAAAAACTATAAACCCTCTGCAGGTCAAACAAGACATTCTACCCTCTGTGTTTCTGACTCTGAAATTTAATACAGGCCCCAGTTCTCAGTAGATGCTCCATACACACTAATTAAGTGCAGGAATAAAAACAAGACTAGAAAAACAGCAATAAAACCCTATTTCATCTGAGACACTACTAGACACTTCTAACCTAACTTATGGCTCACAACTGTTCCAGGCTAATCTGAGTCTGGAAGAATTAAAAGCTTCCTGAAAGCACTATTGAGCCAGCCAAGGTTGTGAGGAGAGGGAGGGACAGAACATTTGAGTGGACAAGTGAAGTAGCCTAAGGCATTAGGGCCTGAGATAAGGGAGAGGGGTCAAAAGGCCCTAAAGACGTGCTTTATCTAAGGTTGATCCTGAAAGAAATCCACAGCTTTCAGCCTTTCCAATTCTCTCTCTCTCTCTCTCTCTCTCTCTCTGTCTTTCTCTTTCTCTCTCTCTCTCTCTCTCTCTCTCACACACACACACACACACACACACACACACACACCCCTTTCCTTTCTTATTCCAGAAGCAGATACATGATGAATATATAACATGGGGGCATATCTTTTTTTTCTATCTTTGAAGTGTAATGTAGACAGGGTTCATCTTATCTATAACATCCTTTGGTAGAAACTTAAAAGACTTGAAACTAATCCTACAGTCTCAGCTTTGTGATTTTCAAAGCCCTTTCATATCAATCACCTTATTCTACTGTTATAGTCCTGTAGGGTAGAAATTCCTATCCTCGTGTTCCTGATGCAGGAACCAGCCTGCGATATCCTCCCAGCTACCCAGTGGCGACAAGGCTTATGCCGAGGTGTCCTGGCTCCAAGGTCAGCATCTCTGTGCGATGGCAGAGCTGAATTCAGTGTGTTGAGTGAGGGGAAAGAAGTCAGACTTGGACAACAGAGGACTTTGCAAAGCATATGAACTCATTTGGGAAGCAAGGGTAGACACTGGTTATAAATAGCGCCGCATGGACAGAGGTCAAAACAACCTGGACATCTTCTATGCGAAGAAAATTTTAATGAGCAGATTTGTTTCATTTTGTTTTTTCAGGTGAGTGTTAGATTTGGTAGATTTTCATTTCCTATGTGAAAGACACAAGCCAAAATTTTTATAAAAGATAAAAAAAAAAAAAAGAAATCTACACCACCCTTCCATGCACGACAAAGTGTACAAGAGTAAGGATCGATGGCACGATTGATTGTAACAGGTCTGTGACAACCAGCGGTGACAGTCAAGCCTAACACTGTCTTTCTCAGACTTCAGCTGACAGCATAATGCTGCAGCTCAAAACACTTCCAACCGGGTTTTTCTCTAGAGTTCTAAAAAATATTCAGCTGATTAATCTATGAGCTCATTGGGCTAATACTGTAAACCACAGAGATTGGTCTATTTGTGAAAAGCTCCCCTGTCATGCAGAAGTGGTCATTAATCCTTCAGTTACTCCCCTAGGTTAGACCAAGCCAAAGAAATCCATGAGTAGGTCTTACAGCCGGCCTTTTATCAAATGGGAGCTTGCATTCTGCAACTCTCAGGCTGCCCCACTGTCTCAGCCTGGAAGAAGTGACGCTGCACACTAACAGATACAACTGTGACCTGGTGACTCACTGACCCCAAAAAAGGTGTGAATAGAACTACAATGGGTCCTTGGGGATACAGTTTTCCCTCCGGCTTCTGCAGAGTCCAAAACTATCCAGCAAATTACCTATCTGTCAGCAAAGCCTTAAGGTAATCAGTGTGTGTGCTGGGGTGGGAGGGCGGGGGATGCATGGCACGGCTGGCAGCCCAGCTTCTCCCAGCCTCATCTCACATCATTCTCCAACGGGATAACAATGCTGTCAAATCGGATTCAGAAATGCTAACATCAAAGTGCTCTCTGGAAGCTACAGTCCTGCAAATCCTGTCTTCTCTGTTCTGAAACCAGGAAAACCAGCTGGACAAGGTGAATATCACCCAGATTCAACCAGTGTGCATCTTTGCAAATGAAGCTGTTTTTGTTTTTCTTTTTTTCTTCCTTGAAGAAGGGCAGCGCTCTTACAGCTAAATCATGCTTCCTTAGATCAGGTTACCAAGAGGAATAACCAGACTGTCAACAGCTCTCTCCACCTTCAGGAGCAAAAATTATACCCCATCCCCAGTGATGATTTGGCTTAGACACAGACCCACAAAGGGGACCAGCCTGGCCAGGAAGACCACCTGATCTCCATAAAGGGCGGAGGTGGGCGAGGCCCGGGGACATAGGTTTCCTGTGGTCCTCATTGTCGTCTGTCTTGCAGACCTTTCACTCTTGGTGAGACAAGCTACTTCCCTTGCAATTTATAGGCTTTGCCTAACTCCAAATGATCGTGAACATAAGGGGTTGAAATTGCATGGGTCTGAAGAACCTGCCTGAAGCATCTGTGTGAGAACTCAGGGAGAAGCTTCATAGCTGGTAAAGCTGCTCTCTGCAGCAATGCTCTGGGCCTGACTGCCAGCCTCGAAATTCAGAATGCGCCTCTTTTTACTTCTATGACATGGGCAATAACTTTTTTGTATCTCAGTCTCTTTCTCTGCAAAATAGAGACAACTACAATATCTGCCTGGAGTCTTATTATGAGAATTAAATAAGCTAATTCTTGTAAATTGCTTAGGAGAGTGTTTTGTACATAACATACATTTGGGGGAAGAGGGCTAAAGATAGAAACATCTCTGAGCTGGACATCACCGCCCTTCTTTCCCCAGGACAGGAGGTCACCAAACTCCTCAGCCTCTGCCGTTTCCAAAGCTCTCTGCTGCCCCCTGCTGACAGCGGCGTCATACTATCGGTGTAACTTGGTTCTCTCCTCCACTGACTAGTTATTCCCATTCCAACAAGTACCCTATTCTACAACCAGGCTAAAATCCATATCATCCCTCCAAAATTCCATGCTTTTGTGCCGTGGCCTGTGCTTCTGCTCCCCCCTAGCGTACCTTTCTCCCTCCACATCTACCTATCAAAGCCATGCCCACCTCAAGTGCCATGGCGTTCATGCAGCCTCCCTTTGCCGCTGTTCGGAATGCGCTCTTGCGGCGCATAACCCTCCTCCAGCACAGTCCTCACTCCTCTGACCCCTTCCTCTCTGTGCTGTAACTAGCGTGGAACTAGTCTTACTGCACAACTGCTTCTTCCTGCTATAGGATAGCGTCTAAAGCCCTTTTTGTCACTCAAATACTGCAAGATCATTTTCCTCATTCTCTGATCCATAGCCACATTGGTCTTTGAGTTTTTGCAACGCTCTATGCTCTCTCCTGCCACAAGAATTCTTTTAAGTCGCTGCTTCTGCCTGGGACACTCTTTCTACTCACTCTTCCTCCAGCCCTCCCTTAGATCTTAGCCCAAACACTACTTTCCAAGAAATCCCTCTTTGACCCCCCTTCCTTGGCCTGGTGACCTGTACATCATCTCATAGCAATATCTATGTATTTTTCTAATTAAAAAAAATCATCATAGTTTTAAAATTCTATTTTTAGACATGTAATTAACATTTGCCATCCCTATAGGACTATGAGCTCTGTGGGGGCAGACAGCATGCCCGTCTTTCTTTACGGTTGTGTATGCTTTACCAGCATACCAGCATAATACCACGTACCCAGTACACAATAAATATGTGTTCAATGAATAAACAAATTAAAGAAGCCACATTAAACAGAATCTTAGCCACAGTGTCAAAAATATATGCATTATATATATTAAATCTAAAATCTTATATTTTTTCATTTTTACCATTCATTTTTAAGATATTAAATTATAGACAGATAGATAGACAGACAAAGAAAGAGCCAGCAAGAGTGTCTCTGAAACACAGTCAGCAAGGAGGCAGAACGGTTCTTCTGATCCTTACCTTCGGTGCTCATATCTGGGGTTGGCAACCAGATGTAGGCCAAGCCTTCTTCCTTATATAGTTTAATCATAGTGTCTGCAGTCATGGGCTCTGGGTAGCGGTTACAGCCTGAGGAATTCTGTACAATATCCCATTCAGTCTGGAAATTCATTACAGCTGTAATCCCCAATTCATGCTTCAGTTTGATGGTTACATGTTCCACTTGACGAGGGCAGCTACCCAGCCAGATATTCGGTAGAATTCTAATGAGAACATATGGAGTCAACTATTACTAGTAGTTCTGATTTGAGTTTTAAGGAGCTGCATAAAACATGTAGTATTAAAATATAACTAACCTTTAAGGCTGGCACAGAAAAAGCTAGATATTTTAGAATGTGAGCACCAATGTTATTATGGAAAGAAAGAACACTAAAGCGTTGATGCTTTAGGGAAAGCAAGTAATTCAATTAACTAGAACGCCAGGAAATGGACATTTGCAAACGAAATCAAGCAATATGTTAAAATAAGTCTACCAAGTTGTGCCTATTCCATAAATGCATATATGGTTCAACATGATAAAAACCCATCCATAGACTTCAAATACTAACAAATTAAAGGTGAAAATTCCTATAATTATATAAATAAATTCTGAAAAACAAATTTCAGAAGGCATTCCAGTTTAAAAGTCTATGTAAAAATTTCAAATAGTATGAGACTTTTTAAATATGCTAAAGAGCTGAAGCTAACCAACAACCGACTTCTTTTAAATAAAATTAGAGTCACGATTAATTCCATTAGTACCCAGCGGTGCTCTATAGGTTTCATATAACACTACAAGGTAAGAAGGAGAAATCGCAACATAATTTCCTTTTGGAAATTCTCATTGAGGTTTATTGTGGAAAAAAATAATGAAATGAAAAAGTTAAAAACTCAGAAAATTTTTAATAACCCTTTAGCAGGAACCCAAGCAGAAAAAGAATAAAATAAAATACATGTATCCTCTCCTGCAGGGTAAGCAGAACTCAAGTTTTAGAAAGACAATGCTGGATCTTGTGAGATATCCTCACTGAGGATGGTTAATGCTGACATTAGAGAACTGGGCAATTGACTTCTGTTAACAGCATTGACAGCAGCCAACAGGAAAAGAGGAAAAAAACAAAAACAGGCCGGGTGCAGTGGCTCACACTTGTAATCCAGCACTTGGGGAGGCCGAGGCTGGAACTGCTTGAGGCCAGGAGTTCCAGACCAGCCCACCGAATGTGGCAGAAACCTCCTCTCTAATAAAATTACAAAAATTAGCCAGGCATGGTGACGCATCCCTGTAATCCCAGCTACCTGGAAAGGCTAAGGACTGAGAATTGCGTGAACCCAGGAGGTGGAGGTTGCAATGAGCAGAGATCACACCACTGCACTCCAACCTGGGCGACAGACCAAGACTCCGTCTCAAATTAAAAAAAAAAAAAAAAGATTCCATATAACATTTAGTAATAATTGTCTGATGCTAGGCCAAGTTATTTATCAACTCTAACCTGTCGGTGTACTCGTCTTTAGAATGAGTCTAAAAATAACTCATAAAAAATCTTGTAAGGATAAATACAATTAAATAATATACCTGAATTGGACTGAAACCAGTAGATGCACAATAAATGCAAGTGGATTTCGTGTCTAGCTATAGAGATTTACTTATTTTTGTAATTTACTTTGCATTACATTGTAAAGATTAATTTTTCATTGTTTCTGATATTGTTCATTTGAATGCTACAGAATAGGCAATACTCTATTGTTTATATGAAAGCTGGCTTTGTTTTTTGCTTTTTTTCCTTTTGGTGGTGTTTGTCATTGTTGATGTTAACAGGAGAAGCCAATTAATCCTCTCACGTGGTCATCACCCATATTCAATGAAAATTATCTCATAAGATCTGGCACTATCTGTCTAAAGCCTGAGCCCCGCTTCCCCGATGGGAGAAGATAAACTCTTTCTGCTGTGTTCTCGTCTAAAGAGTTATTAGGAATTTCCTTGTGGAAATCCTTATTGTAGATTATTATGGGAAAAAATGATAAAAGAAAAGTTAGAAATTGAGGGAAGACTTAATGGTGATGGAAAGAGGGGCATGAAATCCAAGGCCTTCAACTTATTCCTGACCCCAGTTAATTCTTACATACTCTGCTGGACCCAGTGGACTGAGAGGAAGACCCTGAGCAAGGACACTTGAAGGATGCCCAAGAGCTGTGCTTCACCAGGACATGGATAGCTGAGCATTCGGAGAAACGTCACACCTGCTTGGTGACTGCACCTTCCCTCTGGCTATTGAGTGAGATCTGCCTCTATCTAGATGTCCCATCCCTCTTTCCAGATCCTTTAAAGATCCCTTCCCCAGGAACCTGCTGGATACCTAGCAAGGTGACCGTGCTGGGCTCCCATATATATACTTCGGGGTTTAACTGAGCACACTAAATCTCCTAAGCTGAAAAGGAGGGAAGTGGACACTTCAGCCGTATAAACAAGAAACAGAACCTATTATAAGACAGTAATGAATTTTTTAACTGGAAAAAATTTAAAGAGGACTGGTAAAATATTAAAGAGAATATTCATGACAGGCAAGCTAAAATCCAAATACTACTCAGCATTTTCTTGAATATTGCACTCTTTGAGTGAGTACTAGTTAGTATTTAGCTAGTCAGTAAATTCCAAAATAAAATGGCTGGCTGATTTTTCATACAAGATTACATAAAAGCTTAAGAATAGTTCATAGAGATATACAAAGGGTAAATTAGGACATTTGAGCCTGCAATGTAAGAAATCAGAGTCAGCATATCCCAAACCAGAGTCAGTATATAGAGTTGCATGTTGTTGCTAAAAAAGGTGTTATTCTACCATCTCCTTCAGCCCTGGCCTTCAGATGTTTTGAAGATGATAGGGAAACTCAGAAAAAGTCAAAGATAAACAAGCCTAGAGCTGATACCTTAACACATATATTTCACACATAACATTTCTCATGGAAATAAGCCCTTAAAATATATCCAGTTATGATGGGAGTCAGAGTCCATATTTAAAATTTCTGACATTTTAAAACAAGATGTTCTAAACCTAGGAGACAGACAACTAAAGATAAACTCTGAAAACAAACACTATATTGAAAGACAGGAAAGTAAGGTTATAAAGTGATTTGTACTGAATCATTATATGGGACTCAGAGACAAAGACTGGGTCTGCTGGAAACAAACAAATCAACGGATTCTGCTTAATCAGACAGCTACAGTTTGCTTTCCAAAAGTAGGTGATAGACTTCTCATTACAGGATTCACTGGGGGTAAGAAGATGCTTTCTAAAATGCAATTAAAGTTTTACTCATCCATTCAAAAGAGGAAAATTTGATACCATTAAAAATCCATTTTTGCTCATCTCACCTCATTTTGGTATCAGTGTTATTTCGAACAATTTTTAAAATCAGAATTTTTAGAGTAAAAAGAAGCTTGTTGAAATATGAGATTAGAGAATAAAAATTCTCTGTAAGAGTAGCTTTAATGCAAGACATACCAAAATTCAAAGATATAATGGAATAAAAGTTATACCTTACAATTATAAATTACGTTATAAAACTTCCAGAGACTTATTTCATAAATAATCCACTATCAATCATGAACTCAGATATTTCTGGCAGCTCCACTATAGACTATTTGGAAATGCATAGAGACGCCAACCGAACCAAAAGGGTACTGTTACTCAGTCAACACAGGACAGAAGTTCTCAAACCTGGCTGTGCATTCAAGTCACATGAGGTACTTTTATAAAAACATTTATTACTAGGATCCACCTCAGAGATACTTACAGAGAGGCCTGGGAGTTAGGCCTATAATTATGTAGGTTGTTTGATTTAGAAATTAACCAGATTACATAAGCAGCAGATTCCAGAACCACCAGTTTGCTACGTCTCCCTACGCATGAGAAGCTTAATATACAGAGCACATTACCTTTTTTTAATAACAGTAAAAAATATGGAGATCAGAGAGGATGGGCTTCCTCAGTCTGACATATCTACAAATTAGGTTCTTATCTTTGTCCAAAAAATAGTGTCAAGACTGCAAATGATTCCTAGGTAGTGAGGAGTGAGAAATTATCTGTTGTGAGAGACAATGTGTATCCATGTGTTTAATGCACAGTATCTTCTAACTGGTCAAAACTAAATCTATTTCTGAGTCACAGCAAATATTTAATATAGTCCTATGCATAAGAATATACTTTTGTAGAAAAAAATTATTAAACTAGGGTTTTGACTATTTCTGCTGTGCTATAACCAGATTATATATAAATAAAATCTGTCCTAGTAGTATTACTACTATTTTATTTATATATAATATAATACAATATTACTACTAGGACAGATTTTATTTATATATAATCTGGTTAGTATTTAACTTAGCCAAAGACCAGGGGAAAGAATAGATGGCTGACATTCTAGAACCTTACTTTCTTGGATTGCAAATCAAAATCAATTTAATTCATTTGAGTGAATCTGGATTTGTGGTTCCAGGTAATCACATCATAATATTACAATATCTGTCTCACTTATCAGGCTTGGACCTGTAGTCCAACAGCTACTAAAGCATATGAATCAGAGCCTCAGCTGTCAGTCAAAGGAAGCCTCACTGTCAATAATGAGTACATCAGGCAGAATGAGCATCCAAGCACTTTGCAAAAATTACCAAAGGGTATCGACAGGATACCCTGTGGGTATCAAAAGGACAAAAGGTATTGAGAGAGAAGTCCATTCTAAGGACTTCATATTAGAGCTTCCATCACTAATGGCCATGAGAAATGACAGAATAACATTTTCCTGAAGTTGAAAATTAGCATTATTTTGTGTCCATAGAAAGAAAAAGAGATGAGACAAACCACAGGAATAATGGAATCAGCTTTTGTTTACTCATCACACCTAAAGACCCCAACTGCTGAACTGCAGTGCCCTCTTCCTAGCCATACAAACGGAGCACCATTTCAAAAACAGAGAAAAGAAATTTTGCTGAAGCTCTTCACAAAACCCAGCTAAGAATTTAAAAGCAAAGAAACAAAAAGCACATTTCCTAAGTTGGATAACTGTGCTGCATTTATCTTATTTAATATTTTATGGGCAATTCAATTAGAAATTAAAATGTGATCTGGCTTTTAAATAATGAGTAAAGTGAAAAAAATTCTATCAGTCCTATAATTTAGATCTCATTAGTGGGAAAGCAAGAGAAACATTAAAATCAACCTCTAGTAAGC